TATACATGTATGAAATTCCCAAGAAAGTTTTTGTAAAAATTAAAAAAAATTTTGTATGTTTAACATATAAACCAGTGTTCTTAACTTCTGAGATCTTTCCAGCCCCCCATTTATTACTTTTTATTTTTATTTTTACTTTTTTGCAGTACTGGGGATAGAACCCAGGGCCTTGGGCATGCCAGGTTCGAGTGCTCTATCACTGAGTCACATCTCCAGGCCTCTTGTTTGTTTTTGATTTTGAGACAGGGCCTCACTAAGTTGCCCAGGATGGCCTTGGACTCACATGTAACCCAATTGGCCTTGACCCTGCAATTTCCCTGCCTCAGCCTCCCCAGTAGTGGTATTATAGGTCTGCACCACTGGTTATAAAAACATTCCTTGAACAAATTATCCTTTCTTGTATCTTCTCGGTTGCCCTTGTTAAAAATCAGTTGACCATGGAAACTTGGGTTTATTTATTTATTTCCAGACAGGGTCTCACTGTGTAGCTCTGGCTGGCCTGGAACTCACTATACAGACCCGGCCGGCCTCAAACTTGCAGAGATCTGCTCGCTCTGCTTTCGCCTCCATAGTGCTGGGGTTAAAGGTATGCGCAACAAGCCCTCTCAAGCTTGCATTTATTTTTGAACTTTTCATTCTTTTCCATTTATTGATTATTTTATACATGTATATAAAGGCATGTATTTTTGTTACATATAAATTATACTTCAGACAACCTAACTTAAATTCTTGGTTGTAGCCGGTAGGCTTCTGTCCTCCTATGTCTGATCTGCCCGCCTTTCGGCATCAGCATTTGTGTCCTTGCTACTTCTGCCTCTGGACGTGCAGAGTCTTTGAGGCTTGGATCTGTCATCTTGCCTGTAGTTACTATGAGTAAGTGCCTCATTCAAGGTCCACCTGAAAGAGGACCTTTCACTCAGGGCTCAGTGGAACTCATGCCCTTGTTGGGCTGTGGTCTAGCAACTGTTGAGAGGATCAGGGAAGCTGGTCTGTGCGGCTGTCTTCCTTCTTGCTCTCCATGGGTAACACAAGGAGATTTTTGAGTATTCCTGGGACATAGCCAGTTCTCCACAGTAGTGTGACAGGTGAGTCCAAAACTCAGGGAATAGGATTGTCTGCCTTCAAAAATAGCAGGAGATGGTGAGAACTTGTAGCTACCTGTTGGCCTTCTAGCTCCATGTGAGAAGAAAAGACATGGAGTCTGGGGTTTAAAAGCCAGGCCCTGTCCTCAACTCTATGCTTAGCAATTTTGCTTACCATCTGTTCACTTCCCTCTTTGTAAAGGTCCCAGTTCTCCCTGGGCTTCCCACAGTGTGGGTTGAACCCTGAGGTTTCACCCTCCTCTGCTGCTTCTATGGACTTCCCTAAGGAGCCTGGAGAATCCTGTTCTACAACACAGGTTTTTGACTTAGAGTTCTATTGCCTGGGTTTGGAAAATCCAACCGTGTGAGTAACAGTTACTCTGCCTTTGCGGGTGATGCAAGCTGGTGCACTCCATGCTGAGACCACATCCTTCCTGCCCCTGCTGGGTCTGTGACCATTATAAATTCATCTCATTTCCTGGTTGACTGTCCCTGAGGCTGGTGTCTGGGTGAGTCCAGTTCCATGGAGCAAGGTAGACAAAAGGCCCAGGGGAGGAACAGGGGACTATCTAGAGTGGCATGATTTGTCTTGGTCAACAGACTAGGAATTTCTTCTAGACTACAAGTCTGCCCTTCAAAGGATTTCTGGAATGTTTTGTCACTGCTTGGCTCTATTTGTGCAGGTAGTTGTGTGTGTATGTTGGGAAAAGGGTTAGAAACAGCAATCACAGCTTTCAAGGACTTTAGCAGACTTGCCCAGCACTTACTCAGGGTAGCAGAGGATGGAATGTTATGTGGGGGAATTTGTTGGAAGTCCAGGAGTTAGTGAAGGCCAGGGACATTGTGGTAAGTCTCAAAATCAGGGAGCAGAGAACTGAAAAATTCTGGTGCAGATTGGGGAATGAAGGGTCAAAACTGGGTGGATCTGCAGAGCTGGGGCAGCTGACAGCAGAAGCCCTGGGGATGTAGGGGTGCTACATCAGGCAGGGAGGGGAGATGCAAGAATGGAACAGGGACTGATGAGCTTGAGGTGCCTCAAACATCAAATCGTTGTCATAACAATTTCAGTTTGGAGAAAATTTCAGTTTCTTTTTTTTTAAAAAATTATTTATTATTTTTATTTTATGTATATGTATGTATTGCCTGAATGCAGGAAAGTGCACCTGTGTTGTGCAATGCCTGCGGAGGACAGAAGAGACTGTCGGATCCCTGGAACTGGAGTTACGGACAGTTGTTAGCTGCCATGTGGGTGCTGGGATTCGAACCATGTTCTTTTGCAAGAACAGTCAATGTTCTTAACTGCTGAGCCATCTCTCTAGCCCCAACAATTTCAATTTGGAGGCCATCACTATTTTCAAGGCTATCTCTCCCTCTATGTTTTTTTGGCTTCATGAATAAGCTGCTTAGTGTCTCTAAGACTTAGCAGAAGGAACCTACATATCTCAGATGAGGAAAAAAAATTGGTGCAGCATCTAACCTGTGAGGAGTTCTAACTAAATGTGAATTATGATACTCATTATACTTGTGAGTTTTTCAAAGATATTAAAGAAATGTATTTGTTATTTTTCCTTATAAGCACCCAAGTTCCAACTGATCACTTTCTATCCATTAGTGGACAATAGAGGCAGTTGACTAACTCCACCTCTGTGTGCTGCTGTGTCTCCTTCTCTCTGTGTCCTGTGTTGCTCTGTCATTACCATATTCACTCCTCTTCTGGCTTCCTCCTTCCTTTGTTCCTTATCCTCTAGGTCAAAATAGAAGCAAGAGACCAGAACTTTCCATTAGAAGGGAGTGGAAGGCAGTCTCTTCTGCTCTCTCAGTGAATAAATGAGGGGCTGAAATTGAGGAACAGTGAGGAGTCTATGTCCCAGCCCTGTCACTGGGTAACCAAGTTTTCCTGGTGGGCTCATGTGTGCTTTTCCTCTGTGCGCTGTAACTGATGGTGTTGATGGGTTTATTTTTATCTCTACAGAAGAACTTTTCTTCTATGGCTCAGTACATACTCTTAGATCAAGCCAAGAGAACTTTCTGGTAAGTAATTGACTTATTTTTCAAACTCAGAGGTGGTGATTTATACAGTAAAGTGATAATTGCTTTCCTTTGAATTTTCTGAGTTAAGAAACTTTAAACCCATGCCTCCTTATGGAGTTCCCTGTGATATTTGAATACTAGTACCTTGGTTTTTTGAGGTTCTGATAATTTAGACTCCTTAAGTGAAGACTTAACAAGATTTGTCTTACCCACAGGCTGTTTTCACTTTTGTTACGACAGTGTGGAGCTAAGCCCAACAACCCTTAAAAGGACTGTTGATGAAGATGACAAGTGTCCGCTGCAAGCTGGCCCACTATTTGGAGGACCTGGAGGATGTGGACCTCAGAAAATTCAAAATGCATTTGGAAGATTACCCACCTCAGAAGGGGTGCATCCCACTCCCCAGGGGCCAGATGGAGAAAGCTGACCATTTGGATTTAGCTACACTCATGATTGACTTCAATGGGGAGGAGAAGGCATGGGCCATGGCTGTGTGGATCTTTGCAGCAATCAACAGGAGAGACCTCTGGGAGAAAGCTAAGAAAGATCAGCTAGAGTGGAGTGAGTACAAAGAAAGATGCCATTTTCCCCATGTTGTGTACATACAATGTAAAATGTAGTATCTTAATAATTTTGTGTGTATAGTTTGGTGGTAAGAAAATTTGCATTGTTGACAGGCGTGGTAGCGCACGCCTTTAATCTCTAGTCCCAGCACTTGTGAGGCAGAGGCAGGCAGATCTCTGTGAGTTTGAGGCCAGCCTGGTCTACATAGTGAGTTCCAGGACAGCTGGGGCTACAGGGAGACCCTGTCTCAAAAAGAACAACAAAAAAATTGCATCGTTGTACAACCAACCTTCAGAACACTTTTTATCTTGCACAACTGAAGCTCCTTATCCACTAGACTTTCCATCACCCCACCCCATTCCCCTAGCAACTACCATTCTGTTTTCTGTCTCTATGAACGTTACACTGTGGAGTCCACATAGAGGTGGAATCATAAAATATTTGTCTTCTTGTGGCTGGCTTATTTCACTTAGTATAATGTTTTCAGGTTTCACTTACATTGAAGCATGTCAGAATTTCCTCCTTTTAAAAGACTAAGTAATAAATATCGTGCGCACGTGTGTATGTACTACATTTTGCTTATGTTGTCATCTGTTGGTGGTCATTCACATTTCTTCTATGGAGAAAGCCCTAGGCATGTCCTTTTTCATTTTTTGGATTGTTTTGTTGATTTGTAGGTTTAGAAAAATATGTTCTGGATACTGACCTATTACATATTATATATATTATATATAATATGTATAAATATATATATATATAATTATATATATATAAAATTTACAGATATTTTCTCCCACTCTGTGATTGCCTCTTTACTCTGACAGTATTCTTCCCTCCCTGTTTTGAGACAGAGTCTTACTAATTTAGCCCAGGGTGGCCTCAGACACAGAATTCTCCTACCTCAGCATTCTAAGCACTGGGAGATTGTATCTTTTGATGCGTAGAACTAGCATCTTTAAGAAGTTTTATTTTATTTTATTAAACCTCTTATTTTAGTTTTTTCCTCTTTCTTCTTGTGGTGGCGTTATGAGAAGATGCAGGAAAGCATTTTGATTTTTCCAATTCCTTAAACCCCCAGCTGCAATCTTCATTTAACCCTATGAACCTGTTGTGATTGGTGCCATGTTCTCTGAGTCTCCCCAGTGCTAGGGCCTACCTCTGGTCATCACCCAGCTCGCAGTGCACTCTTTATTCTTCACAGGGGAAGGACACAAAGGTTCAGAGTAAACCAGAAAACCACTGGAGCAGCAGAAGGGAGGAATAACAACAAATCAGCATATAAAGAGACTGTGGGCATAGCTCAGTGATAGGAGGTTTGCCTGGTGTGGATAGGACTCTGGGTTCCATCCTTGCACTTTAGAGTCAGGGGAGATAAGGAGGATTTGACAAGGCAGGGCAGCAGTGATAGGGGAGAAAGCCAGAGCTGTGTGGCAGAGGATGCTGCAGTCAAATTATACATCATAATGTAATTATAATTGTTCCTGTACTAAGAATGCATACAATTAGAGTAAGGTGTTAATCTTAGCTGTAGAAATACTTATTAACCAACTTTAAATTTTTTACATTTAAAAATTTAAACATTTTAGCTATTTATTTATTTTTGTGTGTACATGTGTGCCATGGTACATGTGCAGAGGTCAGCGGACAGCTTGCAGGGATTGGTTCTTTTCTTCCACCTTGTGGGTCCTGTGGATCAAACACAGGTTGTCAGGCTTGCTGGCAAATGCATTAACCCATTCAGTCACCTAAAGAGGTCCTTTATTGGGCAGTAGTTTTTCAAAGATTTATTACATTTTATAATATGCACGAGTGTTTTGACTGTATGTCTGTATGTGCACTTCTTGTGTGTCTTGTGCCTGTGGAGGCCGGAAGAAACTGCTGGCTCCTCTGGAACTAGAGTTTCAGCTGATTATAAGCTTCCATGTAGGTGCTGGGAACCGAACCTGGTCCTCTGTAAGAGCAAGTGCTTTTAATCTGAGTCATTTCTTCAGTTTCCCTCCCTTTTACTAGGAAGTTTTAATGGATTTTGTTTTTCTTTCAATAACCCCACGAAGTAGCTACCAGTATTATCTGTGCTTTCAAATGAACAGCATGAGCTAGGGAGAGGTTCTAGATGGTCAGGAGCCAGGGCTCCTCTAGTCAGAGCTGGAGTTTGAATAAAAGGTCAGCTGAGTCTTTGAACAAAGTATAAGCATATGATGTTGGCTTCCATATCTGAATTTTGAGTGTAAAAATTGTCACCAGTGTTTGAGGTTTTGGTTTGCATGAATTCTTGGAATTTGTTTTATGATTTCATTGCCAGTGGTGCTTTCTTTTTGTGTCCCCTCTCCCGCTCTCCTTTAGACAGGTTCTTATGTATCCCAGCTGGCCTCAAACTCACTATATGGCTCAGGATGACCTTGAACTCCTGATCCTCCTGCCTTCACTTCCTGAGTGTTAGGATTATAGATATGTATCCCAACTATGCCTGTTTATGTGCTGGGGATTGAACCCAGGATTTCATGCATGCAAGGCACTCTACCAACTGAGCTAAATCCCTGACCCTGCCGGTGGCCTTATCTTCCAGAACAAGTTCACATCCATAGGATAGGTTCCTCTCTGTCTTTTTGTGTATTGTATGTGTTTCCCTGGTGAGAGGGTTTTGTTTTATCATGCTTAAATTTCTCTTATGAAGAATGTCTTTGGGATGTGGTATCCAGACGGGATGTGGTATAATTCTTGGTTGTGGGTACATTTTGGAACCACTTGGGAGTACCTGAGCCTCAGCACAGATATACTAAAAAGAATTGCTTTGAATAGAGTCCTAGACAGTGTTTTTTAAAACTTTCTAGGTGAATTTAATTAGCTAGGATTTTTGAGTGATTTAATCATACACAAAACTGACTGGTAACTTTTACACCTAAAGACCTGGAAATTTAGGTACGAGAACACAGGATGTGGGCTGAATGGGCTGCATGCAATGAGGTCAGGGAAGGGTGAGCCTGAGACTGTCAGGAGACCATCAGAAGTCTTGGGCATGTCCTTCAAGTTAGGGTGCCAGGGACTGCCAGAGACAGATGATGGTGAAATAAACACTGTTATCGCATGTGTTCTCTGACCTCTGGGAACTGGAAAAGACATTTTGAGCTTGGATATAGGGAGGCACAGTATTTGACTGGTGACTGGTGGCTATTCTTTCGAGTTAAGCAGTCACACCCACTGGGCTTTTGACTGCACACCTGTGGTCTGCAACTCTGAGCCACGTTTTCTTTCATTTTCCTCTTTTTTTGGATTTATTTATTTATTATTTATTTATTTGTCTTTTTGAGATAGGGTCTCCCTGTAGCCCCGGCTGTCCTGGAACTCACTATATAGACCAGGCTGGCCTCAAACTCACAGATCCACCTGCCTCTGCCTCCCAAGTCCTGGGATTAAAGGCTCGTGCCACCATGCCTGGTGGATTTATTTATTTTTATTTTATGTGTGTGAATGTTTTACCTACGTATATATAAGTGCACCTCATGCATATAATTCACATAGAGGCCAGAAGAGGACATTGGATCTCTTTGAATTGGAGTTATGGATAGTTGTTAGCTGCCATGTGGGTGCTGGGACCAAAACCCAGGTCCTTTACAAGAGCAGTCAGTGCTCTTAACTGCTGAGCCATCTCTACAGCCATTTTCCCCCTACTTTGAGAGACAGGATCTCACATAGCCCAGGCTGGCCTTGAACTTACTATGTAGCTGAGGATGACCTTGAATTTGTGATCCTCCTGCCTCCACCTCCCAAGTGCTGGGATTAGAGGCATATGCCATCATGCCTGGCTGAGCCATGTTTTGATTGAGAAGGTATACGGAGTAGGGGCCTTTGACTTTTGCCAGGTGTTAGGTTAGGACCCAATGCCATCCTTTGTGTTAGGAATCTGCTTTTTTGATACACTGTCCTTTTGTGTTCAGATGCTGCATGTGTTTCTGATCTTACGGTGGAATGCCAGGAAGACAGCATTGAAGAGGAATGGATGGGTTTACTGGGATACCTTTCTCACGTTTCAATTTGTAAAAAAAAGAAAGGTAAGAATTGGGGTGCTGTTTCCAACTTTGTTTTAAGACTTGGACCAGGAGGCTAAAGAGCTGAGAAACAGAGACACTTGGCCCCTCTACACGCCCCGACTTCTTGGGATGCAAGGCCTATCTCAGGACATCCATCAGCTGAAACAGCAGACAAATATTTTCATGGCTCCTTGAAGTCCCAGAGGGAGAGGCTTACAGACATAAAACTGTTATAAAGGATTTTTCTGGCTGGGGGCTGTATCTACGGTGCTGGCCTGCTGCCCAACTGTGTGTGGGAAGAAGCTGACACGAGAGTTTTGAGGACCTGCCGAACCCTAGGAATTACACCTGTTTCTCTAACCTAATCCCTGCTTCCTCTAGACTGCAAGCCACTGGCTTTCTTTTCAGGCATATAAGTATTTATTTATTTATTTGGTCTTTTTGAGACAGGGTCTCCTTGTAGCCCCAGCTGGCCTGGACTTCACTATATAGACCAGCCTGGCCTCCATCTTACAGAGATCTATCTACCTGCCTCTATCTTAAAGTCATGCACCATGATGCCTGGCTCAGAAATTTAAAAAAATTATTAAAAAAATTACTAATTTAAAAAAATTTGTTATTTGTATTTATTATTTATTGATTTTGTAAAAGACAATCTTCTCTTTATTTAATTATTAAATAATTACATTTGTATGTCAGTATGTGTGTTTGTACATGTGCACATGTCTGTACATGCATGTAGAGGCCAGAAGTTGGGTGTCTTCTACCCTTACTAGGGTTATAAGAGCTCAGCACCATGCTTGGCTTTAAAAAAACTTTTTTTTTTAATTAAGCCAGGCATGGTGGCACATTCCTTTAGTCCTAGCACTTGGGAGGCAGAGGCAGGTGGATCTCTGTGAGTTCAAGGCCAGTCTGGTCTACATAATGAGTTCCAAGCCAGCTCGGGCTACAGGGAGACCTTGTCTCAAAAAGATTAAAAAAAATTATTGAATCTTTGTGATTTTCATTCCATACAATTTGATGGTATTTAGATCCCCTCCTCTATCCATACTGCCCCTTTATTTTATTTTATATGTATGAGTGTTTTGCCTGTATGTATATATTTACATGCACTGGTGTCATGCCCGCAGAGGCCAAAAGAGTGTGTTGGATACCTTGGAACTGGAGCTAAGGATGGGTGTTAGCCACCATGGGGGTTGCTGGGAACCAAACCCAGGTATTCTGTAAGAGCAACCAGTGTTCTTAATGGCTGATCCATCTCTCCAGCTCCTACAGACATGTTTTAATTTGAATTTACATTAAAAAAAATTTTTTTTTTACAATTAAAGTTACAGTTTTAACAATATGCGGATACCTTGGAACTGGAGCTAAGGATGGGTGTTAGCCACCATGGGGGTTGCTGGGAACCAAACCCAGGTATTCTGTAAGAGCAACCAGTGTTCTTAATGGCTGATCCATCTCTCCAGCTCCTACAGACATGTTTTAATTTGAATTTACATTAAAAAAAATTTTTTTTTTACAATTAAAGTTACAGTTTTAACAATATGCAAAATATTACAGTAATTCAGATTTTTTGGCATAATGATTGTTCTTAACCCTTGAGACATCTCTCCAGCCCCATGAATTACATTTGGAAAATAGTTTTTTTTTGGTCTTTTTGAGACAGAGTCTTTCTATAGCCCCAGCTGTTCTGGAACTCACTATGTAGACCAGGGTGGCCTTGAACTCACAGAAATCCGCCTGCCTCTGCCTCCCGAGTGCTGGGATTAAAGGCGCGCGCCACCATGCCTGGCCTGGAAAATAGTTTTATACATACACACACAGACACACACACCCACAGACACACACACACACACACACACACACACACACACACACACACGGAGAACACATGGCCACCACAGTCTATGACTTCCTCAGCCATAGGCTTTTGTTTAGATTGACAGCACCAGATGTTAATTCTCTGTGAAGTGGGCCTCAGATCCAAGCAGAAAATGGTTGTTTTTGTCATGCCACTATTGCATCAGTGGACACACCTTGCTACGTACAGATGAATGCTTAGGAAGCACATTTCTCTCTAGCTGATGGTCAGCATCCTTTGCATGTTTGCATATTTGAATCCTGGCAATCTTAATGCTCCTCTTGTAAGAGCATAGGCCCACTGACAGTTTATCTCAGGAGGATAGATGCATATGAGCTTTTCCTGGAGCCTCCTTTCTGTCTCTGCTGCAGATTACTGTAAGATGTACAGAAGACATGTGAGGAGCAGGTTCTATTGTATTGAAGATAGGAATGCACGTCTGGGGGAGAGTGTGAACCTCAACAAACGCTACACCCAGCTACAGCTGGTCAAGGAACATCGGAGCAAGCAGGAGAGGGAGCATGAGCTGCTGACCATTGGCAGAACCAAGATGTGGGACAGCCCCATGAGTTCCATTAATCTGGACTTGCTGTTTGATCCTGAGGATGAGCATTCAGAGCCTGTGCACACAGTGGTGTTCCAGGGAGCAGCAGGCATAGGGAAAACAATATTGGCCAGGAAGATTATGTTGGACTGGGCATCCGGGAAGCTCTTTCAAGACAAATTTGATTATTTGTTCTTTATCCACTGCCGTGAGGTGAGCCTTATGACACCAAGGAGTCTGGGGGACCTGATTGTTAGCTGTTGGCCTGACACAAACCCACCGCTGGGCAAGATTGTGTGCAAGTCCTCCAGAATCCTCTTCCTCATGGATGGCTTTGATGAGCTGCAAGGGGCCTTTGATGAGCACATTGGGGAGGTCTGTACAGACTGGCAGAAGGCTGTGCGGGGAGATGTTCTGCTGAGCAGCCTCATCCGAAAGAAGCTGCTGCCCAAGGCCTCTCTGCTCATCACGACAAGGCCAGTAGCCCTGGAGAAGCTGCAACATCTGTTGGACCACCCTCGCCACGTGGAGATCCTGGGTTTCTCTGAGGCCAAAAGGAAGGAGTATTTCTTCAAGTATTTCTCAAATGAGGTGCAGGCCAGGGAAGCTTTCAGACTGATCCAGGAGAATGAGATCCTCTTTACTATGTGCTTCATCCCACTGGTCTGCTGGATTGTGTGCACAGGACTGAAGCAGCAGATGGAGACTGGCAAGAGTCTGGCCCAGACCTCCAAGACCACCACTGCTGTCTATGTCTTTTTCCTTTCCAGTTTGCTGCAATCCCGAGGAGGCAGCCAGGAGCATCACTTTTCCATCCATCTCCAAGGGCTCTGCTCATTGGCTGCAGATGGCATCTGGAACCAGAAAATCTTATTTGAGGAGTGTGACCTCAGGAATCATGGCCTGCAGAAGGCAGATGTCTCTGCTTTCCTGAGGATGAACGTGTTCCAGAAGGAAGTGGACTGTGAGAGGTTCTATAGCTTCAGCCACATGACTTTCCAGGAGTTCTTTGCTGCTATGTACTACTTGCTGGAAAGGGAGGAAGAAGAGATGATCATGAGGGAGGGGACAGCAGGTTGTTCAGAGCTTCTGAACCGAGATGTGAAGGTCCTCCTAGAAAATTATGGCAGGTTTGAAAAGGGCTATCTGATTTTTGTTGTTCGCTTCCTCTTTGGCCTTGTAAATCAGGAGAGGACTTCCTACTTGGAGAAGAAATTAAGTTGCAAGATCTCTCAGCAAGTCAGACTGGAGCTGCTGAAATGGATTGAAGTGAAAGCCAAAGCCAAGAAACTGCAGAGGCAGCCCAGCCAGCTGGAACTGTTCTACTGTTTGTATGAGATGCAGGAGGAAGACTTTGTGCAGAAAGCCATGGACCACTTTCCCAAAATCGAGATCAACGTCTCCACCAGAATGGACCATGTGGTTTCTTCCTTTTGTATCAAAAACTGTCATAGGGTAGAAACACTTTCCCTGGGGTTTCTTCACAACTCACCCAAGGAGGAAGAAGAGGAAGAGGGAGGAAATCAACACTTGGATCTGGTCCAGTGTGCCTTCCCAGGTCCTGATGCTGCCCACTCTTACAGGTGAGGCAAGTTGGCTTTAGACAAATGGTAGGACATGCCTGGTTACTTTTCTTGGTCCTTCCTTCTTTTCCTCTCTTCCCAATTATCTTCCAAATACAATTTCCAAGCTATGTAATGTGCCCACCACCCTTTCATTGGTAGACAAGGACTTGTGCTAGGTGGGCAAATGGAATCAAGGAAAAAAACCCTAATAAAATAAGAAATAAGCATTTGGGAAGACATTAGTTTGTCACAAGGTATCAGGTAGACTATGGCACTTTGCACAAATATTTATAAACTTAAATTAATTGTAATCTATGTGTAGCTCTAGCACACTGTCTTCTTTCATTCTATGCTGCTGTAATGAATGCCTGAGATTAGGTTATTTATGAAGATAAAAGATTTGTTTATTTATTATAGTTGGGGAGGCTGGGAAGTCTAAGATTGAGGGCCCCACATTTGGAGAGGGTCTTTGGGCTGTGTCCTCACCAGTTGGAAGGAGGAAAGCAGTTCTCTGGGGCTCCCTTTTATAAGGCACTGATCTTACCTATGGGGCTCCATCCACACAACCATCTACCTCCCAAGGATCCCCACCTCCTGATACCATCATTCTGGGAATTAAGGTATTGTAGGGTAGAGTGAACATCCAGATTATTCAAGTTGGAGAGGGTGAGAAAGAGATAGAAAGGAAGGCAGATCTGTTCCTCACTGCCCTAACAACAAAGTAGAGCAAGGACAAGAGGCCTGACCAGGACAGCAGAGACCCTGGCTAAAGCCCCTGATGAGAAGTGAGTATCCATTACTCTAGGTGACAGCCACTTTCCTTATAGGGCAGGGACCTTCCATGAAGACCGGCAACATGGGTGTGTTGTTTAATTTTTTGTGAACTTGACACAAGCTAGAGTCACCTGGTAAGGAGGGAACCTCAGTTAAGGAATTTCCGCCTTTAGATTGGTCTGTGTCTATGTTCATGAAGCATCTTCTTAATTACTGATTGATGTAGGAGGGCCCAGCCCATTGTGGGTGATACCATCCCAGGGCAAGTGGACCTGGGTGGGATAAGAAAGATAGCTGAGCAAGCCAAGGGGGAAGTAAGCCAATAAGCAGCATTCCTTCATGGTCTCTGCTTAATTTCCTGCCTCTAGGTTCTTGCCTTGCCTTCTCTCAAAGATGGACTGCGATCTGGAAATGTAACATGCAATAAACCCTTTCCTCCCCAAGTTGCTTTTTTGTCATGGTGTTTAGCACAGCAACAGAAAGGACATATGATATCCACCATTAGAAGTTCAGAGTCACAGACACAATTCTAAATCTATGCAAAGAAACTCCGCTGTTTGTTTGTTTGTTTATTTATTTATTATTTATTTTTTCAGATAAGGTGTCATGTAATCCAAGGTGGGCTTGAACCTAAACATTATATAGTTGAGAATGACCTTGAGTCCTGAGTGTTGGGATTACAGGTATTCACTAGCATGCCCAGTTTTATGCAGTGCTAGGGATTGAACCCAGGACCTCCTGCATGTTAGGCAAATACTCTACCAACTGACCAATAACCCATATTACCTGCATTTTAATAGGGGTGCCTGGTATTCTAACATGAATCCCTGGAAATGATTGTAAAAATTAAAAAAATATGAATATACACTGGTCTTACTTCTGAGATTCTGACTTTACTTCTGTGGATGCAGCTTGATCCCAAGATTTTTGAAAGTACCCCTGATGCAGTTGAACAGTTTAAGTCAGAGATTCTCCCTGGGACCCTTAGCTACAGGTACAGGCCAGGAGCAGAACAGCTAGCCTGTTGAAGGAGTGAGGAGCCCAGTAGTGCTTGTGGTCAGCCAAAGGCTCTGGTTCTTTGCATCTAGAAGTATGTGGAACCATTCTTTCCAAGGCTCACTGGCCTGCTTCCCTCCTCTGTGAATGATCCATGGGCTTGTGACTGGTGGCTTAACACCTAACAGACTTTTCTGACTGTTGCTGGGCATCCCTGACCCATGGCCCAGTTTGATATTGTTAGAGACCAATCTTCTTTTCTTTCTTTCCTTCTCATTCTAGATTGGCAAACTGCTATCTCACTTCCAACTTTTGCCGGGACCTCTTCTTGAGTCTATGCACCAACCAGAACCTCACTGAACTGGACCTCAGTGACAATTCTCTGGGGGATCCGGGGATGAGGGTGCTGTGTGAGACGCTCCAGCATCCTGGTTGTAACATCCAGAGACTCTGGTAAGTTTCCATGTGTGCATCAATGAGAGAGAGAGAGAGAGAGAGAGAGAGAGAGAGAGAGAGAGAGAGAGATATCTTTGGCGTGGGTGTGAGAGCGCACACCTTTAATCCCAGCAGTGGGGAAACATATCTCTGTGAGTTCGAGCCAAACCTAGTCTATATAACAAGCCACAG